GAAGCGTTGACCATTTCTGGCCAGCAACTTTCAGCGTCATTAAGCCGCTGCGCCACCGCATAGTACCTTAGCATCACATTTTGTCAACCTTACTAAAAGATGCCTGTTATTTTACCAGGATTTCAGTCCATCCGTGACTCTCTTGATGCACTTAAACAAATACAGACAACAAAGCTGAAACTTGAAGAAGAGAAATTCAAGCAAGATATGAAAAAGCTACGACGAAAACTCACTGAACATCAAGACTAATACATTTTTTTAGCATTTACAGTTGTTCCATCAAGGGAAAATACTGAAAAGGTTTAAAAAGTTAACTTCTTGTTTCTACAATATCAGACTTGTTTTCCTGTATCTCTGGTCATAATTCTGAACAGATGTAAGTTAAAATAGAATCATAGTCACACTTCATTTATATCTGGAAAAAAATGCAAGGACAGAAATTGTTGAATAAGCCATTACTTGATTTATTTTGATAAACTATTACAACCAAATATTCACACTTATAACCTGAAGTTTTCAAACTACAAGCATTTTTCCTGCCCTCACAGAGAAGCTAAAACAATCTTACTAGCTCATGATGTAATTTTGTTATCAGTTATGAAAAAGAAAAATACTTTTCCTAAAATATTTGTCTAATTTTATGAAAAAATAACTTTTACAATTTTCATAGTCCTGCAAATTCAAATGATTACTTTTACATGCAGTATTCTAGTTACCAATTTGTTTTTCACTTTGTTTTTAATTCTGCAATTCATATGTAAGAAGGAAAAGGCGAAGTTTGCAAAGATGTAGCCATATGCCTAGATATATTCAGAGGAACAGACATGCAAGTCTCGTAAAACTACTTAAATTTGTTAGACATTTAAGACGTCAAAAGATCTTTTTGTCAAGATAGCTATGGAACTAGAAAAAAAAAAAGATAAAGCAACGTGCCCCTCCTTGACCAACTTCCTATACATTTTCTAACAATGAGATGGCAGACACAATTTATTCTTACAAATATTCTTAAAAATTCAAATGGAACTTGTTTTGCAGTATTCTATAAGACTGAAATCAAGTGGCTGAATGCTGCAAAGGTGATTAGCGGCATAACATTTTTGCTTCCTGAAAAAAACTTCATTGCCGCACTTCAAATCATTCTCTGAAGAAAAAATATCTTAGCATCAATTACGAGGTTCCATCAGTTTTTAAAAAGGGATTATTTAGAGTGGAGGATGAATTGGGGCCAACAACCTAAGAGAGAGCCATTCTTTAACACGCTTCCATTAGTAATGTCCTCAGGTTGTAAAGCACTGAGGAAATTAATTACCTTTCTCTTCTTCAGTCCCATCATTTGGGGATTATGTTTGCTTCTGTATAGCACTGAAACTTGATGAAGTGTCTTAAGTTTATAGGCTAGATAACAGTAATCGTATAAACCCTTTTCTAGCATAGGGTTTATACGATTACTAAACACTGACCTTAAAATATATAGAATTATTCTAATACAATGGCAGATGGTTTCCTTTATTGCTTTTTACCTTCCCAAATCTGACCGCCAAGGAAGGGGTGGGGGAGCATAGTTCAAAAGGACCAGGGACTAGCTAGGCAGCAAGAGTAGGAAAAGTTTTTACCATAAGCAGTAAAAAATCTTGCTAAAATCTATTCTCATGTATTTCCTTGAATTATCCAACATGGCTAGATCAGTTTTCATAAAATGCAGACTAAATCATACTGTCAGTCCTCATACATCAGAAGTGGGTTCCACAACTGATGCTTATAAGGGCAGTGTTGAGTATGAATATCCGAAATCAAGAACTATTTCTCTAAAGAAACTGTCTATTCTTTTAGACACTGAAATGTAGAGTTACTGTAATTATCTAATCTAATGATTAACAGCACAACAAATATAATTTCACTTTAATGACAAGCAAACTGATTGTCATTAACAATAAAAACCTACATTACAAAGCAAAACAATTAGAGCTTAATGCATTTGTGTGAAGAATTCTTAAGAGGGGTTAAATACGAGCGATCCAGTCAAAGGGAGTGCTAGTTCTCAGATTTTTCTTACTATCCCTCCCAGAATTACTGGGAGACAGGCAGCATGTAAACATAATAAATTAAATTTAATGAACTGAAAATTGGAATTTAATGTAGAAGGAACATTTTTTAATCCTCTTTTCTGGCACATTTCTGCCCCAAACTTGTCCTTCTATTTAATCTTGCTTGTAGGTAAGAGAGATAGGGGGTGGTGCGGTGTAAAAAAGAATTTTAAATAACAGAAATGGCTTGAAATTAAAAAATACAACCCCTCTCCACCCTTTGGCTCCAAATTATAGCCTCAACATTTACATATTAAAAACAGCTTAAGAAAAGAATCATGAAATAACATATAGCATGTTCTACTTTATATTTGCCACCTATTCCATGCTGTATTCCAAGGTAATGTATTCTGAAAACTCTTGAAGTTGATGCATGAGGAACATCGACTAGCCTCATGTCATCCTCGAATCTAATTTAAACTAAAAATATTTACTTCCAAAATGTACTCTTGTGAAGGTAATGAAGAACACAAGAGAACTGAAAATCTATTTTTCTCAGTTACCCTCTGCCCATCATCTGTCAGAAATCAAAGGCTTGATGCAACTATGCTGTGAAAGACAGCCTTGACACATAACATTAAATATAGCCAGAAAGAAAATAGATGTTTGGTTAAAATCATAGGGTTCTGAATTAAAAGTCTGTGCATGCAGAGTAAGATGTAAACATTTTGTATACAATGTTTCAACATGTTTTATTGCTTCATCACCCACCAAGTTAAAAGGTTATTTATTTTGCTGGAGAAGCTGCAGAAAGATATACTGCTAAATGGTAATAAAAATGGACATGGACAGAAACAGCGCAGTCTTAGCAGGCTATGAAGACAGACATTGCCCAAAGTTTATTTAGCACATGGATGTATTATAAGGCTCCATTTCAAAGACAGAAATCTGTCATACTTACTCTGCACTAGAGCAGAGGTCAAACCTTTGTGCTTTCCAAGGCCACTAGGATACACTGGAATTTCTCAGAAGGAGCACAGATTAAGTAAACTTCAACTGAATTTCAATTGGGTTGTTTAATAACTGGTTCCTTTTAATACAAATTGAACTGTTAGCACTTCTGATTTAAAGTCAAGGCATTTATCACGAAGATGATGTTTCCAAAGGCCTCCAAAGTTATTCTGATCCCTCACTAATGTTGGTGCTAGGAGGCTGCTGCTGAGAGTTTCTTGTCTAATTCCAAAACTCGAGTATCTCCATTAGCTCTGGCATTTGCTATAAGAGCCTGCAGGAGAATTGGGAAAACAGAGAAAAAGAATTATGCGTTAATGTGAATATTTCAGAGTGTAAGAATTAAGGATGTTTACTTACTTGCTAATAAGTCACAAGCTAAGTAGGCAACTTGGTTGTATGTGGGGATTGCAAAACATTTTGGACCTAAACCATTCCAGGCATGGGAATGCTATTTTTGGGTGATCTGTACCTGCTCTGAAACATCCATCTTTTGGATATTTTGGGCTGTATATAGAATGAAATGAGGCTAAAGTAGGTGGGGGTGGGGAATAAGACCAGGCCAAAGCCAAGAGTGAGGGGCTTCATCAGTAAGGGCACATATAGGCATCAGTAGCAGCAGTGGCTGGGGAGAGGCAGGGAAAGAAAAGTGCTAGGCTAGTGGGGCATGCTGTACTGGGACTCTGAACTTTACTGTAAGACCATTGCAATAATCAAGAGGTGCAGAGGCGGGGGCATTAGCAGTGACTAAGGGGAGGCAGGGAAGGGAAGGGGATAGGAAGATGGGCAGGCCAACAGGATATGTTACACCGGGGCATTAGCAGCAGTAGTTGTGCGGGGAGAGAGGAGCAAAAGAACGACACTGAGATGAGGGGGAGACATGGCTACCCAGAGGCAGAGGGGAGCAATGTACCTCAGCATTGTTCTGCTAGCCCTGTATAATCATTACGGGATCCCTCTGAATTTTGTTTCAGTTGAAACCCGGAAACACCAAAACATTCTGGGCCTTGTTTCTGTAAAACTGCAGCTAATCCAAAAATATTCAGTATAACTTCCAGAACATGATGGTTTGTGTTTAAAAGAAAACATAACCTGTGCACACTCCTAGTTGTGTGGCTTACAATTTGATGTATGGATATTGGGGTAAGTTAATTAATTAATGTGCTATCTCCAGGCTAATGAATCTCCAGGCCACTTTTCATTTTTCCTAGTTCATTCCTTACAACAGAATCCTTGGAATGTGGTAAGATAGCAAAAGGCCCCATCCCACCCCCACTCTCTTCAAAACTTAAAATTGAAGCAGGCCACAATTGGTATGAACATGTAACAGGAGAATCTGATCACTCTTCCCACTTAATAGCAGTAACTGTCCTTCCTTTAGAAAGCAGATAAAGCACTTCCCCCACTGCTACTTCAGACTTGCATTCATCATATTGAAGAAACAAAAAAGGAATGAAGGGAGAGACATTTTTCTTGGAAAATAGAACAAATGGGCAGTTCAATTAATAGTGCCTTTTCTGTCACAGAGCCTGCCCTCTTGAACACCATACCTCTTGAGATATGGTCCCAAACCTGCTCACCTTTCATAAAGTGTTGAAGACTGTACAGTGGGGCAAAGAAGTATTTAGTCAGCCACCAATTGTGCAAGTTCTCCCACTTAAAAAGATGAGAGAGGCCTGTAATTTTCATCATAGGTATACCTCAACTATGAGAGACAAAATGGGGGAAAAAATCCAGAAAATCACATTGTCTGATTTTTAAAGAATTTATTTGCAAATCAGATGAGAGAGGCCTGTAATTTTCATCATAGGTATACCTCAACTATGAGAGACAAAATGGGGGAAAAAATCCAGAAAATCACATTGTCTGATTTTTAAAGAATTTATTTGCAAATCATGGTGGAAAATAAGTATTTGGTCAATATCAAAAGAGATGAGAGAGGCCTGTAATTTTCATCATAGGTATACCTCAACTATGAGAGACAAAATGGGGGAAAAAATCCAGAAAATCACATTGTCTGATTTTTAAAGAATTTATTTGCAAATCATGGTGGAAAATAAGTATTTGGTCAATATCAAAAGAGATGAGAGAGGCCTGTAATTTTCATCATAGGTATACCTCAACTATGAGAGACAAAATGGGGGAAAAAATCCAGAAAATCACATTGTCTGATTTTTAAAGAATTTATTTGCAAATCATGGTGGAAAATAAGTATTTGGTCAATATCAAAAGAGATGAGAGAGGCCTGTAATTTTCATCATAGGTATACCTCAACTATGAGAGACAAAATGGGGGAAAAAATCCAGAAAATCACATTGTCTGATTTTTAAAGAATTTATTTGCAAATCATGGTGGAAAATAAGTATTTGGTCAATATCAAAAGAGATGAGAGAGGCCTGTAATTTTCATCATAGGTATACCTCAACTATGAGAGACAAAATGGGGGAAAAAATCCAGAAAATCACATTGTCTGATTTTTAAAGAATTTATTTGCAAATCATGGTGGAAAATAAGTATTTGGTCAATATCAAAAGAGATGAGAGAGGCCTGTAATTTTCATCATAGGTATACCTCAACTATGAGAGACAAAATGGGGGAAAAAATCCAGAAAATCACATTGTCTGATTTTTAAAGAATTTATTTGCAAATCATGGTGGAAAATAAGTATTTGGTCAATATCAAAAGCTTCCATTTTCTAATTATTGCTCCCACAGTTGATTTCTTCACACCAAGCTGCTTGCCTATTGCAGATTCAGTCTTCCCAGCCTGGTGAAGGTCTACAATTTTGTTTCTGGTGTACTTCAACAGCTCTTTGGTCTTGGCCATAATGGAGCTTGGAGTGTGACTGAGGTTGTGGACAGGTGACTTTTATACTGGTAACAAGGTCAAACAGGTGCCATTACTACAGGTAACGAGTGGAGGACAGAGG